AGATTGGAAAATATAAGAGTGACTAGTATGGGAAAAAGTGGGGGCTCAGATTGGAAAATATAAGAGTGACTAGTATGGGAAAAAGTGGGGGCTCAGATTGGAAAATATAAGAGTGACTAGTATGGGAAAAAGTGGGGGATAAGATTGGAAAATATAAGAGACTAGTATGGGAAAAGAGAAAAAGCAGGGTAGCCCTTATGCCCCACACCTTCCAAAGCTCCTGAAGTTGTATCAATAAAGGTTTGATGTTGAGTACTGGATACTGCATGCATAATGAAGAGCACAAAGGAGGTTTAGAATCAAGCTAAAATGTAAATAAACCAGTTCTTACAAAAAATAGAATATCTTGAATATGTTATCAAAAGAATGTATCTAACTCTGAACTTGGCTTTCAAAATACTATTATTATCTGCCACAATGACACGAGTTGCTATTCACTAAGCACCATTCAGTATGCAGTATTGGACATTATTTGAAATATAACTGTATACTACTAACAAAAGGTATATCAAAAATGTAATCTATATATATTACTTTAAAACAATGAAAACATTACACCTGTTTTGCTCAAAAAATTAGTAACTCCTATTTATTATTTTGTTATTTTTTAGTGTTATATGACAATGTTTTTTTCAATTAGGTGTATGTAGCAGTATATATTATATAAAACAACCAATTTTTAATTAAATATTTTGCCTATAGATTATCAGAGTTGGTCTAATGTCTCAGCATGTCAAGTAAACAAAACACCTTGTTCACATATTTGCTACCTAAAAATACTTTTGTCCAATGTTTGGCAGTCTGATGTAACAAAAACGTTAGACAATCCTATTAAATTTAATCTAAATTTGGCATATGTAGAAACCTAGAAAGAATATTCGAGTTACAGTCTTCTACTTAGCATGGCGAGAAAAACGAAACACCTTGCTCATGTATTTGCTACCTAAAAATACTTTTGTCCAACCTTTGACAGTCTGATGTAACAAAAACATTAGAAAATCTAATTAGATTTAAT